AGCTGTTTCTCTGGAAATTCAGATTGGCTGAGTGGTGCCTTTGGAATTTCTTATTAGGATTTTCCTGTATTTATTCTGTGCAAGGAGTTGTACAAGCAGCCATGGGTTTGTTCCCACTGATTTTTCCAAGCAGACCACAGCTGAAGTGTTTGCCCCAGCCCAACAACCCGCAGAGGGGTGAAGGACTGGTGCTGGTTGTGCCTCATCCCATCCCACAGCACAGATGGTCCCATAATTGCTACTTGCTTTCCCATCCTGAATTTCTGGGACATGTGTTTTGCATTGCGATCCTCTTAGCCTCCCTGGTTTTGTGAATCACACTTCATAAAAGAATGGCTACCTTGGGAACGCAAGGCAGGACATTTATCCTTCCTGTGCATGTGTGTTTGTCACTCCCTGCCACGGCCCAGCTTATAAGGCGGAGTCCTTGTTTTTAATCCTGATTTTGCAATATACTGAAGTACATACATTCACCTCTATCCACCATAACACTCAGGGATGTTCTTAACTCAGTCCTGTGATTTTCTGCTTTAATTCAATCCAGTCTTATTTCCTGACAGTACTGGTCCCCATTGAGCTATTCTGGTTGTCCCTCTGTTTTTGCCCTCCATCAATAAATTATTTATATTATATTCCTTACTGAAGCACTTTAAAGTGTTAAGATCAGAGGTGAAATAAGAAGTAGAACACAGCAATCCCCTTTCATTTGCTGAACTTCCTTGGAACTGCTGCTTCATAGACAATATTAGATATAAACAGCATAAACTTTTCTAAAACGAAAATAAATTAAAACAAATGAGAAATTAAACCTTTGTAGCAGCAACGGTACCAAAAAGCTGCAGATGATTCCCTGAGACACCAATACAGTAATTTGGATTTTTCTAGGTAGGTAATGAGATCCTTTGTGACAGCTCTGTGCTGGCAGAGCCCTCTCCTTCAGCCTGAAGGTTTCTTCCGGTGGAAAAAGGGGAATATTTCACCCAGCTGAAAATGAGCAAATGCTGATGTTTAAACAGAAATCTCAGAGGAAGCTGCCTCTGTAACCACAGCTGGTTTGCTGCAGACCTGAACACTCACAGCCAATTTGCTTTTTTGGTGTAATAGAATTCCAAGTCAGTCCATGGAGCTCCACCAGGGATTCATTTGGCCTTTTGCAGTTACTGGGTTAACCCTGGAAGGGGGAAGGAAAGGAGGGGACCACCAAAACCCATCTCTTTGCCAGCAAGCCAGTGCAGCACCAGCACCTTTTCTGTGGAAACATCAGGAGGGATGGGATCACACAGCTGGGTTTGGGGATGTTTCTTGGTGGGGGACATGCCTGGAAAGAGAAGGATCCCTATGGGATGCAGCTGAGATAGGCTGAATTAAAGACTTTTTAACCCATCCCTGTCACTGCAGCCAAACAGGGGCCACATAAAGACCCAAGGATGGCTTTATCCCCATCTGCAGCCATGAGGCTGTTTGGGAAGGTGGGGCTGGCCACCCTCCCCCTCACAGATGTGCCGGCTCTTCCCTGCAGCCAAGTCCTTCCCTGAGGCCTGGCCAAGGAACCAGTTGGTGCAGGATCCTCCACACTGCTGCTCTTAGTGTGTGAGTTTACTCGGATTAAGGTTGTTGCTTAAGCTTCCATGCCTATTTGCAAGCTGCCAGTGGAATGCAAGCTCTCCATCAGTTTGTGGCTGTGCAGGAAGCTCAGGTGTTCCCAGGGATTCCACTTGGATTAAAAAGAGGAGGCTGCCAGCCTCCTGCCATCACAGACACCAGAGCTCCAGGTACTCTTTCTCTGTCCTTGCAGCCCTGCTGGGAGATTTTTCTTCTTGGATTTCCTATGACTTTTTAAAATTTACCATAGTTGTTCCTGAAAGTCAGAGAGCTCTGAGTGTGCAGTGCAAACACCCTTCTCCCAGCCTGACCCACAGTGACGTGCTGGGACTCTCTTCCATTCTCCTGTGGGACAACTAAAGATTTTACTGAAATTCAAAGTCAGAAAATGCAAATATCCTTTTCCCTGTTTTCCCTGTGTTAACAATAAAATCCTCTTTTTCCTTCTTTCCCTGTAGCGCTGGCTCAGCTCTGTGTACCTGTGCCACCCCAGTATCTGGAGGTAAGTCATGAAGTGAGGGACAATCTCTTAATCCCTGCTGGTTCCTGGCCCAGCTCCTCCACAGCCATGGGGCTTTAGAACCCCTTTTACCAACAGGTACTACCTCAGCAAGGTGCTGCCACAGCCCATATTGTGAGCTGGGGACAAAGATTCTTGTTGTGCTGCTGTTCAGGCAGTCTATAGCCCTGGATGTTATCCCTTGTCCAAAAAACAGGCCAGAATATGGGGTAGGAAGATCTTGTGTTGGGGTTTTGGTGGTTTATTCTTCCCAGTTAATAAGGGGAGAAAAAGCCCAAATGCTGCCTCTTGGCTGTGTCGCCGCCTGACAGAGGCTGGAGGCCAGCAGACACACAGACATATTGTTCTGGAATCAGCAATTAGCTTCCCATTTTTCCCCCCTCATCCCTCTGAGAAAGGGACGAGGAAAGGCCCCACTTGAGAATAAATTAGTATCTCAAAAGAGAGGCAGCTCTGCAGATGGCTCCGTTGTGCTTCACACTCCTGCACAGCTCTGGAGCAGTTCCCCATCCTCAACCTGTCCGTTGTCCAGATGTTCTCCTATTCCAGACACCTGGAAGAGGGAAGGTGGCCTCACCTCCACTTTCCCCAGAAAGCAGCTGTTAAATGATATTTGTCATCAAATTTCATAATGAATTTTGCCCAAGTGTTTCCCTCTGGAACACTGTGACACTGTGGGTTTATTGCTTGAGTTCCAGGGGGATTTCAGAACTTTGAAATTCTCAGATTCTTCACTTTTCTGCTCAAATATCGTTCTGTTTAGCTATGGGAGTCTGAGGTGGTAGATGCTGGAAGTCAATGGAACACATCTAGCAACAGGAGTAAGTGTGCTCTGTGTAACACGAAAATTGAACTCTGATCTCAGAGTGCTGTGATTTCCTGTTCCTGTGGCTCGCAGCAGAGGGAAAGGCTCCAATAAAATATCATTTTTAGGGAATAATTTGGCAGCACCATGAGCTGCCCTCGGTTTTCAGGTGGGGAGCAGCTCTGGTCTGAGGAGACAGAACCTTTGTGCTTATGGAGTGGCTCTTGGTGTTGTCCAGCTGCATTAAATAGAGCCTGGAAAAGTCTCCTCCAAAGGTTGCATTTCCAAAGGGCAGCCATCAAATGGGGTAATCACAGAGTATCCTGAGGTGGAAAGGATGCACAAGGATCATCCAAATCCAGCTCATAACAGTATCAGAGAGTTTTTAAGGAGAGTTGCCCTACTGCACCTTGAGGGCTTCCAGGGGTATAGCTGTTAAAGTTACTTATTTTTCCCTGCTCCATCACCAATGGCTGGTATTTGTTTCAGGAATTAGTGTCTCCAAATAGCTGAATTTCCTCTCAAGCTTCTCCTGTGTAACATCTGGATCCTGCAATAATCATACCAGTGCTTGATCCTGCTGTTGTTTGCAAGATCCCTGTGGACCACCGGAACAAGGCAGGAAGTATTTCAGGCTCTTAGTCTCCTGCAGTTTAGTTGAATTTCAAACAGATAATCAGGGTCTCACCCTCATTGTGTGTGTATTTATCTCCTGAAGCCCCGTGAGTTGCTTGTTCCATGTGCGAGTTCTTTCCCAGCTGTTTCCCAAATTTAAAAGAAATAGGACAAATTTGGTACTGGAACAGGCTCCTCAGGGAAGCGGTCACATCTCCAAGCCTGAAAGAGCTCAAGAAGTGTTTGGACAATGCTCTCAGGCACATGGTCGGTTTTTGGGGCTGTCCTGTGCAGGACTAAGAGTGGGGCTCAATTCCTGTGGATCCAACTCAGAAGACTCCATGATTCTATGGAAAAACCCCATTCTGGCACTGATGGAGAGGCTTCAGGGATGGGGACTGTGGTACTGCTAAAGATCAAATAACTTCCGTGGCTTGCTGGGTCTCTTTTAGGGCTTTAAACTCATCTTTTCAGGAAAATATGGAGTTTTTCAGATGTTCTCATTGCCATGTCTCACCTGTTGGTAAGACCATAGAAGCCACGGACACCTGAGTGTCGCACCTGAGGACAGATTCTGTGGAGAAGCTCTGAGACACCTGAGAACTCCCTGTTGGCCTTTTCCCCCCTAAAATGCAACGGGATATTCCCCTGCTGCTGACTCACGAGGCTGCTCAGGGATAGCTACCACACAGGGGCTGTCCGTGGCCTTTCCAGTGCCCATCTCGGGATGGGAATGATGGGCGCTCAAACCCGCTCTGCCTTTTGCCTCTCCTCCCTAGCAGCTCTCAGCGGAGCTCCCGCCGGACCCCTGGGACATACAACTTTCCCAGAGTTTGGATGCAGGGCTCGGTTTAAGTGTGACTGCCCCCGGGATGCGCAGGGCACAGCCGCGAGGTGTGAGGGCGCCTCGGGCGCCTCTGAGGGACCCACGGGGGGGGGCCCTGACTGGCGCGCGAGGCCGCCTCATGCCCCCGTCCTGTGAGGGAATCGCGGCCATCGGGGGCTACCCCAGCGCTCCGGCGGGGCGGTTATCCCGGTTTTCCCGGTTATCCCGGTTATCCCGCGCCACGGGCGAGGGGCGGCAGAGTGGGGGGCTCCGTGAGGGGAGCGGGGGGGCGCCGAGGGGGGCTCGGGGCGGGGGCGGGCGCGGCGGCGATTGGCCGGCGGCGGCGGGGAGGGGCGGCCGTGATTGGCCGGCGCGGCGGGGCGAGCGGCGGGCGGCGGGCGGCGATTGGCTGCGGACGAGGAAGCAGGAAGGAGGCCGGAGGCGCTCGCGGCTTGCGGGGACTTCGCGGCGGCGGCGGCGGCGGCGCCCCCGGTCCCTCCTCCGCCCCCTCCTCCGCCCCTCCCGGCCCCTCCGCCGCCCGCTCCGGCCTCCGCCCGCCCGCTCCGCGACGCCCCGCGGCCAGGGGCGGGCGGCGGCGGTGGCGCCTCGTCCCCATCCCGCAGCGGAGGAGGCGGCGGCGCTGACGCAGCAGCAGCGCGGAGCTCGGGACTCGCGGCGCTCCCGCCGCTGGATTTCTCCCCCCCGGGGCCTGCGGCAGCCTCCCGGTGAGTCCACACGCGGTCCCCGCGGCGCCGGCTCGTCCCTCCGCCCCCGGGAACTCCGCCTGGCCGGGAGCAGGTGCCGCCGCCCCGGGGTTTGGGGGGCGGGGGGTACTCGGGGCCAGCGGGAACTTCCCGCGGCGGCGGGGAAGCGCCGGGAGGGCACGGCGGGCTGGGTGGCGGGTGGGCCGGGCCGGCCCGAGCCGCCGTTACCCCGCGCGGTCCCACCGGTGCGAGGCCGGATCGGCCCCGCCGAACCCCCCGGGGCTCCTCCGCCCCTGCCGCTCGGGCAGCACAAAGGCGGCGGCGCCGGGCCGGGGGGGCCCGCGGGAGTTGCGGGGCTCCTCGCCCCATGGGCTGCTCGCCCCATGGGCTGCTCGGCTCGGCATCGCCGGGTCGGAGGCGATTCCCGGGGAGAGCCGTCGCTGTCCTCGGCGACTCCGGATCTCGGAGCTGAAGCGGCGCTGCCCGGCCGGGAGTTGGCACAGGACGGGCTGGCTGGGGCTTGGTGTCTTGGGGCTCCCCACGGCCGAACGGGGCGATGAGCCCCTCCCCGGAGGGTCGAGCGGTTGAGTCCGTCGAGTTCCCGGTGGTTTGCAGGATGTGATGCCGGGCGGGCTGTGAGCCCCGTGTCCCTGTCAAGCAGGTACCATCGAGCCTCTTTGGGGGATAGCAGAGCAGTTTTCATTTCCATCGTGATTTTTCCCACTCGCCGTGCGCTCCCCGTGGCTCTGGACATCTCTCTTTTCCTGCCGGCTGCTCCGGTGGCCGACGGCTTGTTTTCTCTTCTCCTTTTGTGTAGCGGTGGCTCCTAATGGAGGCAGCTCCGCTGGCTCCCTCTTTTCCAGCTGCTTCTATAAGGCGCAGGAGCCAGCACATGTGACTGGGCAGATCTCGGGAAGACTAGCAAGTGCTCCCCGGGCTCCTGCTCGACAGCCAACACGGGGATACCCACACCCCGATGTCCTTTTCCCTGCCCCGGCACAGGGAGACACAGGAACCCCTTCTCTTTCACAAGAGCAGCCACGAAAACTTAAAAAATACGAGCATTTGGGATTTATTCAGTTTGCCTCTCCCCCTCCCCTTTCTCTTTCCACAAAATGCTTATCTGAAAGAGGTTCTGGTTGTGTTTTGTTTTAAAGAATCCAGCTGCCCCTCGTGCTCGCTCTCCATCTGAAGTCATCATTGTCAGGAGCAGGCGAACCTCAAAGCGAGAGGCTTTGCCGGGCTTTTGCTTGCCTGGTTAATTGATCTGTCCATCAGTTTGCCACAATTAGCGAGTGCTTGTGCCACGCTGAGGGGCTCTGTGGTGTTCTGGGGGGCTCGGGGTTTTATTTTAAGGCTTCTGGTCCTTGTGGTTGTGAGAAAGAGTGACACGAGCTGCGTGATAGACTGGTGCTTTTGAAATCGTAATGTGATTTAAATACCAGCACGCTGCTGATCGCTTTAACAGAAATATCCTGCTCACATATTCATCCCGGGCCATCCTTCACGTTTGTCATGTCCTGGCTACCTGAATCGTTCCCGAGCTTCGGCTGGAACTGTCTAAATGTTTGCAGGTGATAGGAAATAGTGCATTAGTGTGATTTACCAGGACGTTTTGGATTTAAACATCGATTTCTGTTTGTTTTCCTCATTAACACAGTGCAGCATTTCTAACTGCTTTCCAGCTGGAGCAGAGCAGAGAAGTGTAGTACTACTGATAGGTGTAAAACACCAAGCCTGCAAGGAAAAACAATTCCTTGAACTTTGTGCGACTGGATCCTTTCTGGATGCTTTGTTTGCTGGGGCTTCATGGTGACAGTTGCACAGAACAATAAGATGCAACTTAGAAATGTGGGCTTTGGGGGAAAAACAGTCACACCCTTGTGTCTTGAGGCAGAAATGTTATTTTGGAGGCCACTGGTGTGTTCTCATCCAACTGAATCATTCAGTTAAGCATCGGTACTCTGTCCTTCTTGCCAGTTTGTCTGCATCACCTTTCTGTTTCCTCTCTGGAAGCCTTAGTGTTTATTTGGCTTTTTAACCAGTATCACGGGACAGGGTTGGAAGGGCCTCTGGAGACCACCCCCACCTAGAGCAGGTGACACAGCAATGTGTCCAGGTGGGTTTGGAATGTCTCCAGAGACAGCCTGTTCTGTGCTCTGCCACACTCCATGGAAAGTTCTTCCTCCTGCTGAGGTGGAACTTGTTGTGTTTTAGGTGATGCAGGTTAATTTTGTTTGCTGTGGTGGTGTTAATCGCTGTTGTGTGACTCGGAGGCTCTCTGGAACACGTGTGCTGGTCCAGTCTGTGGAGATCCGATTTAGGGATCACCTGGCTGGGATGTGGGGGGAAATCCACCCTTCAGCAAAAACTTTTCTAGTGCTGCTGCAGCATTGAAAATAAGCCCTTAGCAGCAAATCTGTCCAAAGTAAACAATTGAAAAATAATTAGGAGTGGTAGCAAAGGCATGCTCTCTGCTTGGCATCGTGTTCAGATCACAAGCAAATGAACGAGTGATGAGATCTAGCTCTGCAAAAACAAGAAGGTGTGCTCAGATGTGCAAATATCACATCCAAAAGGAGCTGTGTGAGGGTTTTTTTGCCCCATCTCCAGTTAGTTGTCCCCATTTGGACATCGGGAGAGATTTCTTTGTATAAAAGGCTGTCAGGCACTGGAAGGGGCTGACACCAGGGAGGTGGTGGAATGTCCATCCCTGCAGGTGTTCAAGAAAGGACTGGATGTGGTGCTCGGTGCTCTGGGCTGGGTGACAAGGTGATGATTGGTCACAGGTTGGACTTGGTGACCTTGGAGTTCTTTTCCAAGCTCATTGGTTCTGGGATCTCAGTTAACCACGGGGATACAACTCATGGAAGCAGCAGCAGAACAGCCTTGGTATCACACCCAACCAGCTGAACGACATCATAACTCTCATGTTGATAAGAATAAATGAAGCAGTGTTCAGATGACTGGGAAATACAGGAGAAGAAAAAAAAAAAAAACAACCAAAAATAAGCAGCCCAAAGAAGTCATAAATCTGAAAATAGCTTCAAACGCAAGCTGTGAGCTGGCAGGGGCTGGGGTGGCCGGGCTGTGGCAGAGAGGGATGTGCTTCGATCCCGGGGGATTTCCCCATATGAGGGTTCTGACCGTCTGGTTTGCTCTCCTGCTTGAACTCATGATGTGAGTGATGATTTATGTGCCTGTTTCCAGCAGCTCATAGGTGAGCTGGTTATATTCCAAGCTGCAGATTTGGGCTGTCTTAAGCTATTCTCCAATTGTGAAGGCTGGAAGACATCACAGTTTTGGATGCAGACAGTATTTAAAGGGAAGAACAGGGGCTTTTGTGTGGAGGATGCTAAGAAGGAATTGTTCCTTGTGCTTCAGCATGAGGACTGGAGTTTTTGGGTCCTTCAGCCATGATCACAGCTGTCCAGCATGGCAGCTCCTCTTTTACTGAGACCAAAGACAAGTATTTAATGGCAGAAAAATGTTGAAATTCGTGGCCAGATTGTTGTTCTCAGTGAGTTACCTGTAAGAAGACCATCATGATTTAACTATACTTTCACACTTGTACTGGCACCTGACATCCTTGAAATGGGGAAAAAACACTTAAATTTGATACTACTGGTTTTATTTCTTAAAAGACAGAAAGAAACAAGATTGTATGTGACAATGCCATAACTTTGTCCAGTTATTGCCCAGATTTGCTATTTTAGCATGGAGTTTTATTATAAATCAAGTAGAATAGAGTCACAGTAATATTTTGTGTGAATTTAAAAATCCCCCTTCCATTAGAAGAACTAGACACTGGAAAACTTTATCATGTAATAAAGTGAAATGAGGATCTGAAGTTATTAAAAAATAAGCCAAGGGTATAATTAAGAAAAATAAATATAAATCTGGTTTAAAATCAACTCATTTGGGCCCTGTCAATATTTGTGCCATTGGAGTTAATTGATCTGTTCCATGTTATTTTTTCTCTGGCCATGTGGGTGAAACCCTTATAAAATCAGAGTATGGAGAGCTGGCAGGATATAAGAGGTATGGTCAGCTGAGGGAACTGAACCTGAACCTTTGTGAAATCTCTGGTCTCTCAAAATCACAGATGTATAATTTCCAAAGAATAATTTGATTTAAATCATAGTGGAAGTCCCTCAGTGGGGATGGCAGTGCTGCTCTGCTTCTGGAAAAAATCAGCTGAAAATGAGGATGGCTGCCCTGGAGGAGCAGTTGTTTTCCCTTCAATCTGCTACTTATTGATATACATTAAATTTCAGGACATCTTCCATAGAGGGTGGATGGTTATTAACTCCACATGGGTCAAAAATAATTCAAGGGACACTGTTGATTTTGGCCTGATTGGTGAGTGATGCTCACATTTGGCAGTGCTGGGTTCTTGCAGGTTGATGACGGGGAAACACGCATGGATGTGTCTTTCCTTAAATTAAAACAGGTGGGAATGAGCGATGTAACACCCTGCGAGCCTGGTGGCACCGGGCAGTCCCCCCTGGGGTCTGAGCCGTGCCGCTAGCACAGAGCTAAATAAACACTATTAAATGGGGAGGGAATGTGTGTCACTCCCCGGGAGCACGCCGTGCTCAGCTCCCACGTGGCACGGCCGGGAATGCCGCTTTTATCACCTCTTCCAGCAGCTCTGGCTTAGATAAGAGGTGCATTTTCGGTAGAGATGTTCGGCCGGACCTTGTCTGAGGGCTGCTTGGAATCCCTCCGTTTGTCATTCTCCTTCCTTCACCGTTTAAAATTCCCAGAGCTTTTGGAGACTCGGCAGCACAAGGTTTTGAGGGGTGTTTGCTGTCACACGTGCAGCCAGGCACCGTGACAGGAGTCTGGTGGCATTGGCAGGGTGTCAGCTCATCCCATGGGATGGCACAGCCGGCACGGTGATGATGCTGGGAGCAGGGAGGCTTTGGGATCCATGTGTCTTGTGGCTCCCTCCTTCCCCTGCCAGAGAAGGGGATGCAGCCCAGGTGGGATTTTTCTCCTGCTGTATTCCCTGGGCA